TAGTAAAACAGTTGGCGGAAGGTGCACTCAGTGATGAAATGTAGAAGGGAGCAGCAAAGGAGTTATGCTTGCTGGTTAGCCCCGAAGTAAAAAGTGCACTCAACACCGCAAGTTGAAGACACATAAAAGACGCTCTACGCAGTTTCGAAATTCATGTATATAACCGCAAAATTGTAGACAACTACTTAGCAAATAGAGTGCTAATGTACAATACTGAGGAGGGTGTCAAAGAGCATAAAGTCTCTGCTGGAGTGGCACAAGGATCGATCCTGGGCCATAAAAAAAAATAAAAAATTTATGAAGATCTGGGAACGAGACATATGTATATAAAAGTAAAAAATCACAGAATATTTTCTGCCCGAAAAAATTTCGTCAAATTTTGTCTCTAATTTTCGCCTTAAAAGGCAGAAACACCTACTGGGTCAAAATAATAAGTCAAAATTTAGTTAAAATTTGCTGCTCCTTGGCGTAGATACATATGTATAAATCTCCTAAAAAAGTTGTAACCGTTACTTTACGTTGAACAATTTTATGATTTAAGGAGCCGATTTTTCAACGCACGTTTAAATCTGACTCAATGCTTCGCTCGAGTTTAAACTAAGGTTAGCCGATCAAATCTCAGCCAGCTGTGGAATCCGAACGCAACTTACGCCGTCTAAGTTTAAACTGTCACTGAAAAACTGGTCCTTAGACATTACGATGGATAAGACGTCTGTGAATCCAGATAAAAGGTTAATTATGGGAAACAAATTACAGATTGGCCTTGGGTGAATTTTCCAAAGAAGATTCCAATACACCAAAAAAAAAAAAATCGCAGAAGAGTCTAAAAAAGATTCCGAAATAAACAGTATATACCTATTAGAACGAATAACAATTTAAATCTCTCCTCTTCGGTTTTTCTATGTTCTTTGCCTATTTTTGGTGCAAGAGCTCCGAAATAACATGCCTCGATTACTTATTTACGACTATTAAGGGCCATTTTCGCTGTGAACAAGTAACTTTGCGGATTTTAAGTACGATGCAGTGTTGCCACGGCTAAATTTTTATTCCTACCAAAGTTCCCTGCCAAAACCAACCAAAACCTACCCAACATTTTTTAAGCTTTTTAATTTTTCTTTCAATGCCAAGTTTAATAAAAATCGAAATAAAATAACGTTTAGTAAAACTAAAACTCAGCCTTACCCAGTACTCCCGTCGTCCATCTTCGATCCGTCGGTGTATTATACTAGGGACCTTTAGCCAGAGAAAATTTTAGAAAATCTTATAAATTTAGCTGAAATAGAAAAATTCATGCATGTTCTGGCGCAAGCTGAGAAATGGAACGCAGAATACCAAAGTTGCCAAACGGAGAAAATTTCGATTCGAATGGAAATGCAGAATAGGGCTGATTGCATTTTCTGCATTTGATCACTTATCAGTGCTGTTGACAACAGTGTTCAGTGATTCAAAAAATGCATCACAATTGCACACGAATGATATGTATAAATAACGCGTAAGTAGCAGCGTTGCCATTTTAGCCGTTTTCCGGCTAGATTTAGCCGGTTTTGATAGCAACTAGCCGGAGAAAATTCGATCTAGCCGGCAGCCGATTTGTTAGCCGGTTTGTAAAAAAAAGTTAGCCATTTTTAGCCGATTTTACTATTTGCCTAATTTTCAGGTGCAAAAAGTTAACAAGTTGTTCGAAAGCAATAATGCAGACCCAATGAAGATTTTTAATGAACTCAATGTTTTACTTTCGCATCTATGCTTCCTAGTGGTTATTAGCGCGGACGCATTTGATCCTATATGCTCCCCATTGGAACCATACCTTGCTCCATTTCCTCAGTTTTATCACAGTTTTGAAGAGTATTTAAAAACAAAAGTAAGCACAAACGCTTTTGACCACGAAGCCGAGAAAATAATTCGAGAAAATGGTCGCTATTTTATTATCACTTTAATAAAGGAATTACGCCAACGCCTCCCTACAAATATTGCCACACTAAAAAAAATTGACTTTTTTCGGTTGGAAATGCATTAAGAGTAATTAAACCAAAAGTATTTGTTCAACTACAGCAACAAAAACACAAATATAATACCGACGAAATAACATCCATAGAGATGCAATGGCAACGGTTAACGTTACATACCTGGAGTAATTTAGACTCAACTGTAAAATTTTGGGCCGAAGTTTATCAATTTCGAAATGCCCTAGGAGAAAACCCTTTCGCTGACCTTTGCAACCTAGTTTTTAGTTTTCTTGTTTTGCCTATAAGTAATGCAGAAGTAGAGCGAATATTTAGTTCAATGAATATAATAAAAACTAAGCAAAGAAATCCAATGTGCGTTAAAACGTTAAACGCTATTTTATATGTAAGATACGGTTTAAAACGTGAAGAAAAATGCTGCCATAATTTTACTGTAGATGACGATCTCTTAAAATTAATGAATTCAGGTGATATATATGTACAATAGTGATTCATTTGATGATGAGGAATATACACTCGATATAAATTAATGGTGTTAACTAGTCGTTCGTTTCTTGCGATTTATTTAAATAAAGCATGTGGATTTTCACTAAAACATTTTAGCCGTTTTTTGCCAGAGTCTATGTGAAATTTCACTAAAACATTTTAGCCGTTTTTAGCCGCTTTTTTTTGCCAATCTAGCCGGTCGGCCCAAAAAGTTCTGGCAACACTGGTAAGTAGATGCAATATATGTTTTAAAGTAATATTTTTTATTAATAATATTACATGTAAATTGAATTGTTATTGTTATTGACTGAGTTGTTAAAATGCGGTTATTGATAGTATAAAAAATAAAACGCGGAGAAAAATTTAATTGCCATTTTTAAGAACTGGGTTATATAAAAAGGGGCAAGAAACGGGAAAATCTAAAATGACAAACGGGAAAAAACATATAGAATTGCATGGACAAAAAGGGAATAGGCTCGCCCAAAACCTGTCACACTGGTTCTGACTTCCATTTTTATTTTTTTATTTTTGTTTTGATCTGACGCCAGCACATCTCTGCCTCCGCAAGCATCCACGCTGTCAAAAGCTGATCAGTTTGTTATTTCTCTTTTCATTTTCGTTTTTAATTTGGATTTTGCTTTTCACTATGGTAAATTTCGTCGAAGAGTGATGGAATTGAAAATCTTTGGCGTGGTGGCAGCCGGCATTTCGTCGACGAGTGGTATATTTCCTCGACGACAACTCAAAATTTCTGAAGAATAAAAACGGTCGCTGGGAATGCGCCGTCTCATTTATATACGTTCTCTGCTTAAATCTATGAACGCGTAATAGCGACATCTGTCATACCAACGCGATAGATGAATTAACAAAACAGATGTCGCGCTAAGCAGCAAAGTTTGTTCCTTTGTTTTACGATATTAGACTAACGATTTTAGATTAACCCTTAGATACGCAACGAAGCCTGTCTGCCTGTCGGCCGCTCAAATCTGCAAAAAAAATATATTTGGTTCCGTGATATGTAATAAAAAATAACCTTTAAACTCAATTTAGTCTAATGTAATTGGTTCAACTTACCAAAAAAAAAAAACATTTTTGTCACAAACATTTGATGAAGCAACAACACAACTTCCCGGAGAATCATACTCGAAAAATGCCATAAACTTACTCAACGAAATTAAGACTTCCTACTATTATTGCAAAAAAGGGGAAAAATTAACATTTTTTGTTATACACTTTCTACAATCTTTTTTAGACACCTACACGAATTTAGCGGCATCCTAAATCAAAAACAGTCACACTTAAAATTTTTCAAAAACTGGAAAAACACTTTTGAGACTGTTTTTTTGATTTGCTTGCTTCGGTTGCGCAGCATCAGCAGTTTTTTGCTTCACCTGAACATTTGGGATATTTTGTATTGTCACTGTTTTTGATTTTGGGTGCGATATAAATGTAGTCATGTGAAAACTAATAGCGACACGACATTATGACCAGTTTTAGCTACATATTTTTCTTTTGTTTGTTTAATGTTTTTTATTTTTTATAAAAATAAAAGTATCGGCTTTAAAGTTTTGAAATTACATATACTCACAAAGTAAAAATGAATATTTTTTTTCTAGTGAGATACTGGTAATTGATACAGCTGTGGAGCTTCTACTGTATTATATTTTACTTTAAAAAACTAACAACAATTACAAATTGGAAAATGTTTTAATTCGTTTTTTGTTAAGAAAAAATATTTTTTCAGTTGGTTGAAATTAATTGAATATACATACATACAACTGCAGTGTCACTTCCATGAGCTAAAGCTTACTAGTAGCGTTTAGGCCTTCAACCTAAAGATTTTCTTTCTTTTGTGACCCGCCCTAATATTGGCATATATGCGTATGCACACACATATACATATGCACACGTACTATCATTAATTCGCGCCGTTAACTGACGGCTCCCGCCGGATAATAACCCTCCGTTTGAAGCACATCTTTTTATTCTTGGGTTTGGTAGATATTATCCATGGAACACATGAAATTCTACTGACTACATCTCTGGTATCCAAGTAAATCAACGCCAACAGTGCCATTTATCCTTTGCGACTAAAGGAGAAATTAAAACCATTTACGTTTGTATCTTCCATGTAAAATATATATTTTTTATTGATTTTTAAATTTTTTTTTTTTTTTGTTTTGCCCATAGAAGTATAAATACGTTAGAATTCTTCAGAAATATTGTGAAATATGCAATGCTATTATTTTATGAAGCCAACCTTTTACGAAATGTTCGCTTTATTCAGCATTTATTGTACGCTAAGAATATGTAAGTAAGTATACGTTGAATAGAAAATTATCAATTACTATAGAACCATAATTCCAGTAACTAAATTTAAGATAATTACTAAGAATAAGTTTTTTTTGTTATTTTTGTTGTTTTGAATTAGAATTAACTCTTTTTTAAAATTGAGCTTTCAACACAATTACGATGCAAATAACATATGCCAGTATGTTGGTATTGTATGTTGTGTGTAACCAACACACATATGTATGTATGTATATAAAAGTGCAAATCAACTACTAACCTAAAACGAGTTTCGGTTGCTGCACCTATTAATATAATAGAAAAGGAATTTTAGCGATTACTGCAAAAAAAAAAAAACAGCTTGAATTTGTGGGCATTGGGCGTCCAAAGTAAAATGTCCGACATCGACGGACCGGCAATTCAAAATATTTATGTATGTATGTATGTAGTTATATAGCTTCCATGCCAGATGGACGGAGTCCCATTCATAGCTTTCTGCTGTCAATTTCAATCATTTCATAAGGAACATTTATTGGATGAACATTTTTCAACCATTTTATTGGCGTTGTATTTCCAGGCACTTTAGTGTTTTCGAAACAAAAAAGTCGCTGCTGTATATATAAAATATTATCAAATCTGTAATTTTCAGAGATTTATTTATTATCCAACTGAATACAAGATATCATTTTGGCTCTCTCGCTATACTTTTGTGTGTCGCATTGCTTCGTATCAAAAGATATTGCGGAGCTTGTCTCTAGGGAAATTGCGTGTGTTCTTTCGTAGTAATCGTTATTGCAATAATTCGAACCACTTTCATTCCTATTCCTGTATTTGCTACATCAACAACTAATCCCTTGTTGATATTTTCTGTTATCGGTAGTACTTGCAACTATAAGTATACTCATTCACCAATGTTCGATAGAACTCAAGGTCCTCCATATAATTATTATGCCGGGCGTGTGTGCCACTACTTTTCTCAGTCGCAATACATAGCTTAGAGTGATTGGTGTTGGTGCTATTTTGTACCGTAATCCGTAATTGCGAATCATTGGTTACATTTTGTTTTTTAATGTACCGTTGTCCAATGCATTTTTTGCAGTTTCCTTTTCTATTTAACGAATGAATATACCTTTACGATCTAAATAAATAAAATGCCATCCCCATAAAAATAAATGTTTTGTCATCGCTTTTAGTTTGCCTATCTTTCAACAACTATGCGATGCACCTCTGTTGACAGCGCGATGTTTAACTCCAAAGGAGAAGTTGATTCGGCTTTTATCCATGATATGTTAAAATACTGCGCTTCACGGGCATCTGCATCAGCGATTCCTTAAGTCCTTAACTTGCGCCTCTGATGCGTGTATTAGGACATGCAAACATATTAATCGGCTATCAGTTAGTTACATTAATTCCTACACTCCCCCTAAAAGCAACCATATTGGCAACCGCGCGTCTTCGATACACGTTCGCATCGTAGAGCTCTTACTTATAACTCTGCATATTTGCAGTTTATCTGGTGGTTGATTTGCTTGACGCGAACTTTGCGTTACCACGGTGTGTGTCTGCACTGCTGGCGGCGCATGCGGAAGCATTTGAGGTGCTGCTAGCAGTCAATTCAAATTGGTGGCGGACCACGAATATAACGGAGTTGAGGCGTGAAACTCATTGACAGGTTGTTGAGGTTGTCGCAGCAATTGGGCTGCATGAGGCAGGCGGCGCACAGGAAGGTGATCAAGGCCAGTTGCACAGGCACAGCTGCTTTGGCAATGCGCCAAGTCCAGCTATTATGAGGATGCTTGTCGTCATCCTTGTCGTCTGCTTCGTCCATGTCGAACTCAAGATCTGGATCGTCTGCCGGGTCGCCAGAGTCTGGCGCACCAGCAGCCAGTTTGGCACCCACCACTTTACAAGTCGAAGCCGATGCGTTAGCTGATGTGGAGGCACTGCTGTTGTCGGCATCTGTATTGGATCCGTTAGAATTCTTATTCTGCTTGCGACGTCCGTTTCTTCGGGGAGACGCATTTTCTTTAGCAGCACATTCCTGCTCTTTCGTGGCACTGCTTCTCCTGCCACCTGCATGTCCGTTCGCCTTTACTATTTCACCGGCAGTATTTCGTACACTGCTATCTATTTCTTCTCCACCAGGTACTTGAAGTTGATGTGCTTCCGCTTGCTGTAGCTGCTGTTGGACTTTCTTATTTTGATGTGTAGCTGCTGTGCGCACAATTAAGTCGCGACAGGTGTTCTGCAAGTTCTTGAGCTCTGCCTCGGCGGACTCCATACGCACTGCAATGGACTTCATCGCTTCGCTGCCGGGGGCCAAAGCCAACTCCAACTGCTTTACTAGACGCCGCAAGACACCAAGTCGACGCTCACGCTCCGATAGCCCGCCATCAGAAGTGGCACCACCGTCGGAAATCCCTGAGTCTGAAAGCGAGCCGTTGGAAGCGGTGAATTTTGCAATGTGCAAGATATGGTTGGGATCCAGATGTTCCTGTACCGCAGTAAGCTGAGAAAAACGATATTAATAAAATTCGAGTCAACGTCACTAGAGGACGTACTTACCTGTTCTTGGCTAACATTTACGCGCTCTGAAAGTAGTTTGGCGACAACCTTTACATTCTGCGCCAGCTCTACTGGGCTGGCTTGGCCCTTGTCCAACGCACCCTCGAGCCCCTTTAATGTGCCGCGATCCTGGCCGAGCGCTTGCTGGAACTCATACAAGCCATTCTCCAACTGCCGCCAAGCGATCAGTGAATTCGTTAGCGTCTCCAGTTGAGTATTTATCCTAACGAAGACAAAGGCATCAAGAAATTACAATTAGTTTTTTGTGATTGACTTAGGCAGATATATGTAAACACTGATACCTTGCGTCAGCATCGTCCCAGGCGCTGTACATGTCGCTCACTTCGTTCTTCAAATGTTTGTGGAATTCATTTTCCGCATTGATTAATGTGTGTATATCCAACACTTTGGCACCCTTACCAGCGGTACTAGTGCCAATGGAAGTGGTCATAGTGGCGGTGCCAACGATTGCGTTATTTGCTGCCCCGTTGCCAAAATCGATTGCCACAGTTGTGGTATTTTCTTTAAGCGTTCCGGTTACATCACCTCCAGCGGCAAATGAATTGTTTTGTTCATCTACGTGCTCAATGGCCACTTTTTCAGCAGCTGCTTTCAATTCCTCCTCCATTAATACATTCTGTAGGCGTCTTTCCTGGCGCGTTAGCCAACTGTGCACGCTGGCATTCAGGCGAAGCATATTTGTGCGGTAATTTTGCAACTCCGTTTTTTCGCTCTACAAATACGCAAAAATAAGTCAGTACTTTTACTGCATACATATGCCAGCCAGTGCGATTCGCTTACCTTTAGAGCTTCAATTGCGACTTGGATCTGTGGTTCTGTATCCAATAGTTCAAATGTACTCTTGTTGCCCAACTTGTTCAGCGCGTGCTTGAGAATGATCATCTCCTCTTGCATTTTACGTGCGGATGCAGCATTTTCGCTCCAGCCCAATAGGTCCTCCCAAGCAGCTAATAAATCTGAAATTAAAAAAAAAAAATGTACGTGCCAGTTTATTCACTTTATGAGTTCAGCTGCCTCATGTCAAGCAACTATCCCAGCAACTAAATGACCAGCGAAGCGCGTCGAAGTGAATAAAGTGATTCAACGGTTCTCCGACACGAAACTGTAACGCACCAGTTACGCTACCCACCGGACAGACTGCGGTGCTTAATGCTTAGGCAGTTAAATAAATTGGAAATTGTATTTGATTGTAGAGAAGAGTGTATTTAAAATTTAAAATATGCACATGCATACATTCTTATATATATGTATTGCACATATACCCTGCAAAAGTCGCGACTACTCTATGCAAACATTTAAGGAGTGTACTACAAAACTAACCGAAATGCATATCAAAAATGTGGTCTAATTAACATTGCGATGTCCTAGGGCAGGACAATATACTGCAGCTCCGCATTATGTTAGAGCAGCACAAAACAACTCCATGGAGTAATCCCCCTACCTCGGCAACACAACACCCCAATAAACATAGTGGAGTGATTACGATCGTTAAAACACGATCAATGATCGGATAACAACAAGCCGGGATGGTCCAACGATACATACACATACATATCGTCGATGTTTTTGCAAAACCGCCTATCTTACGGCGCTCAATTTTCACAGGAGAGCGAAAAAACAGTTTTTCTTTGAAGGCATTGCCTTGAGAGGCGATATTGTCTGTAGCTATTATTTTATAAATTTCGATGCCTGGTGTTCAGAGTTACCAAATCTCATTTTTGCCACAACGGCGATTAAGGCGGTTTTGCAAAAACAACGACGATATGTATGTATGTATGTATGTATGTATGCAATGGAAAGACGCTAGTGGGAGTACTTGAATATTGGCGGATATTTACTTTCACACCATGATTTACGAAAGATTTAGCTGGTATTTTGGACTATGGCAAACTGCCTTTAACCTGCTTTAGAGTATCTTCATCTGGCGAAGTTAAAACATCGCAGGTATTATCTGGGTTAAATTGCACTGCATACTTTCGCCTTTTAAAATTCATTCTAAAATCGGAAAATTTTGATTTTTTGACAATAAACCCCGAAAATTAGATACACCTTTATTGATCTTAGCAACATGTTTTTAAGAGTGATCTTAAAAATACAGTATGCAAATTTTTATATTTGTTTCTATACATAAAATGCATGTGGGACGTTCCTTTCGATGATGTTAAAACAAATTTTGAACATTTACAATAAAACAGTATTTTGTAGATGGCTTACCATGAGTCCGAATTTATATAATATTTTTGTAATCAAAAGTTTTTCCGAATAGAATCCCGTTTCGAAAACCGAGTGGCAGTCACAAAAGTTAAGAGTTAAAACATGTACATACATGCATGGATATGTGGTTATGAATGCTGGCCCATATGTAGTAAATCTATGTAAATATGATTGTAAACTTGGTGCCTTTATTATTTAAATTATGGCGAGGGCCAAAAAGAACTACTAAAATTCGATGAAACTCAGCAGGAAAACTAGCGATTATGACCGCACCTTGCGAAAACCAAAAGCCCACTGGTAGCCTTTAATTCAGCTGCACTTGAATGGAGCTGTGTGCAGTCGATTGTGCAACGCAGAACACCCCGTCGCCGCGCCCACCTGCATCTCTGGCCATGAAAACGACAAACACTGGGCGAACAGATTGCCAGCTGTAGGTATTGACGAAGAGAAGTGAGCCCAATGCCAAGTCGCTAACCAACCAGCAACCAAATATGGTTGCTTGCTGGCGACATTGGAGCGCATTCGAGCAGGCTTAGGCGGAGCCGGTAGGCAGGTAGGCAGGTAGGCGCGCACGTCGAACCCAGATGACGATTTGCACAGTTAAGTTAACTACAGAAATTTCGTTGGCGCTCACACAAGGCCACTGCCATACACGGGGTTCGATGCTCGCACGCATTTTCATTTAATTGCCAGTTGTTGGTGCTGCTGCATGCCGCGCCAAACCGAACCCATGCAGCGAAGAAATCGACACAAGGGAGAGAGGAAGCAAAAAGGTAAGTTTTTTTATTTTTTTTTGCCGATTTTCGTGTAATTATTCGCGCCAGTGACTTCAGTTGACTCAATAGCGTGAAACGTAGCCATGTTGTTGTTGCCGTTGTTGAAGTTGTTACTACTAATTGCAGCGCCAATGACGGTACCACAGAGTTGCTTGAAGGTTTTGATTAATATGCTGCTCGTCTAATTGTGGCTTTCTTTTCAATTCGGCCACCTACATATATTGCAATAATTTTAATGCTCATTTAAGCAATAAATCTGGGTAAAAGATATACATATGTATGTAGACATGATATAAGTGATACATATCGTCACCTGAAATGCAAAAGGACGTAACAACATCGTAACTGGAATGGAAAAAGTCGTGACTAATATATTTTTTTTTTTTTTCATAAAATGATGTGGGAGTTGTAATCCGATGAAATCCATCACATCAATCAAAGTGTGAGTTTTGAATTTTTTATTAGTTACGACTTTTTGCATTACAGTGACGATGTTTGTTACCTCTTTTTGCATTTCATGTGACTATAGGTGCGTTCGACAAGTCAAAAATTTGTAATAGTTTTTCCAAATTTTTACTGGATGGCCTTCGATAACGACAAAAAATTATCCAACACACGAAAATTGAGAGAGTAAGCGTTCATTTTGATGCAAGAGAAGCGTTCATTTTGTACTAGCAAAATTTTAGTCAGCAAAAATTATCCAACACGAAAACATATGATCACAAAATATATGGTTGCAATTTCTGTAAACAAACAAAATTGCATTTTCCGAGTTTTGGTATTTATATGCTTTTTGGCTGCCTGCTATGTGACTTTATGATAGCGCCAACTAGTTTTTACTTCTAGAAATGTTCCTGGCGAACATTGAACGTTCACTTTCCTTTTTTCTTCTATGGAGGCAACATGAATTTCAGTTTGTTTACAAATAAAACATAAACAAAGTCAGCTGGTGTGTCTTCTTCTTCCGGTTTTTGCAAGTAATGGCTTATTTCCTGTTCGTTTACTTTTTTGCTTTTTCATCTCTTTGGGAGAGAATTTTCGCTTACTCTCTCGATTTTGATTGTTGGCTGGTGTTGGCTAATTTTGTTATCGAACGCAACTTATATGTATGCATTTGATGTAAAATTGCAAGTTTATGAGCTCACAGCGATCTAACCTCAAGCAGAGCCTGTATGCTGGCATAATTGTTTAGTATTAGTCAAGCTTTAAAACCTAAACTAGCATACATACAATCCATCATATTGCGATATTTAGGTATGTGCGCATATTGTTCCAAAAACTACTAGCAAAACATTTGAAGGACTGCCAGAGATTTAATTAAAAAAATGGTGTGTCACACTTTGTTTGTTTTTGGTGTTATGCGCTGGCGTCACTGGGTATTTTTAAACGCTGACTTTCCCTTTGCGTAATTTCAAAATCCAAAGCTAGTGAACTCGTATCTGTTATGAGCGTCGATTTGCCAACGAACGGCTACGGAAGCTGTTCCGCTTGAGTCGGAAGTAAAAAATCGGAGTATTTATCAGCAACAAACTCTGCCACGCCACCAGCACACACAAGGCAACACGATAAAAGACGAAGAGTTGTTGATCGTCACCCATTTATCAGTTTTGAGTTATTGGGTTGACTCGATTACCCTTTGGATGTTCTACGTTATACCAAAACCCAGAATACCATGCGTACACGGAAAGCATATATTTTTTATAATTTCACTTGCATAAATGTAGAGTTAAGTCTCGCAAAAAAAAAACTTTCAAACTTGATTTCCCAAAATTTTCATTTTTACACATTCATGTTTCTGGCATACGAGCGACGATTTGTATGTACATGCGTGCGTGCGTACATTTGTAGATATGGCTTGTTTATCAAAAGTCAATGCACTTTCTGCAAAATATATTGATGTTTGGCTTTTATAACATCTATGTAAATATGTACACGTGTAGATACTATATGTATGATTAGCTAAGTGTGCGCTTACTAGATAGCAAGAAACAACTAGTTCAAGCAGATGCCTAAGCAGTTTGTAGTGTTAAACTAGAAAAACGTAAACAAACGTGAGTATTATACAGCTTCATTATATGAACATACATACATACATATATATATATATTTGTATTTGTATATGTATGTGTGTACATGAATGCAATACCAACATACATATGCATGTATAGATGGCAGATTTGTAATTTCATTCACATTTGTGGTCTACTTCAAGGTTATTTGTTCATATTAGATTCATTATATTGTCATATATACATACATACATATATGTATATGTAGAAATGCGTGTTCTACATATGAAAATCAGATTTTCTGTTCGAGGAAAACCGCGTTTGTCAATTATATAAACTTTCGAATATATCGGCATTTAATTTTCAACGAATTGTGACTGTTTACTTTTTAATACAAAAACTGTTGAAATAGAACAAATCAAACGCGGATTTCGTTGTAAGCCTTCCGGCCGCCGTAAAAATCCGGGCCCGTTACTAAATACAGCTATGGACATATAAATGGCACAATTGTTTAAGTCTATTTTCCTATACTCTATAATATCGTTAATATTTTTAATAGCCAAATGTAAAAGTTTATTCCTCGCATCTAATAATTATACAAACTCAAGTTCGAATTCATGAATAAAACCAAAAACTATGAAAATGTGAAAAAAGAGGGAAAATCGAGTTGAAGCTGTGTTTTTATCTAGTTTTTATTGTACAAACATTTCAATCGTTAATATTATGTACTGTAGAATTTATTTCTAATGACTGCTTTACATCTACGATTCAAACTCTCGACGAGTTTTTGACAGTTGATTTTAGGTATGGCATACCAAGCTGCCTCAACGGCAGACCAAAGATAGTCCAAATATTTATAAAGGGTGTCTGGTGGCAGAATTGGGTTTTAGATTTACAGTTTCTCCCTAACCGCTGAGCGTATCGGCGGGGTGGGGACAGCGTCAACTTCGTCATTCGTGCGGGTTATTTAATATTTAATTTAATTATTATTTATTTCATAGTTAACATGAAACATATTGTGCTACTGATTCAAAAATGTTTACCGTGTTCAGAAGATGATCGAGATGTCGTTGACGATGAGCTCGCTGAGAGCATTTCTGAGATGTCTGTTTGCACTGCGACGTTGACTTTCATTTTCAGTTAGTTAGCTTTCTTATGTATACATACATACATATGTACATATATGCATATAAATTGTGTGTACATAGTATATAGCTGGCACTCTCAATGCGAACCTTTTGACTAGCGCGAGTACTTGCTCGCTCTAATATGTCTTATTATTATTGTTGTTTTTATATTCTATTAGACGTATAGGGCAAAAAGAATACCACATGGCCCTTTATTCCAAATTCTTAAGAGGCTTGCTCAAGGTGTCTTTTCGAGCACACTTCTTCTATTCTTATCAACTTTTCAAATACACTTTGCTGTTTAAATATTTATGCTTGTACATGAACTGCATTCATCACCTGAACTCAATGTGCGTATGTAAGCATGTATGTACATACATACATATGTACGAATGCAAGTTTACAGTTCCATCTTCAGCGAATATGGGCTCACTTTCGTTTGCATGCGTTTGTTATGCACAAATATGTGAATCGTTTTTTGTTGTTGCCACCATACGAATACAGGTAAACAACAAAGTCTTCATGCCAAAGCCAAATTCAATTTCATGCTTTCAAAATTCGAGCGGCACATTTCTATTCACACGAACATCCCCGCATTTGTCATTCACTTAGATCACACACTTTTCGTGGGGATGACGTCGCCTCAATAGTAAGTAAGTAAAGCCAAATGGGGTTGTTTCTCTGCGATTCTGCGCTGTCAGAATTACTTAGTGTTGCTTTAATTTACGTTACTGATGTCACTACGAATTTCGACTTAGCACGGCATATTGTATTATGTGTTTATTTCTTTATTTACAGGTACGAGTTAATATCACAGAATTTTTCAATTTAAATGAACAGATTTGAGATTCTTTAGTTTCGCTGTGTAATCAATATATTTAACTGCCAAATGACCTGATTTTTCGTCGTTTTTGTCGATGCCCAAACAAACAAACAAACGGTTTCAGACAATGGTGGTGGCCCGCGACAATCAACCACTTTGCTAACATGAGTAGCACACACTGACGGAATTGGGTCGCACAGCAAGCAAAGTGCTTCTACACCATTCTCAACGATTTCGGTTACTCACGCGGCAGAGCTGTTGCGCAGCAGTTGCCCCCAAACTTAAAAACAGATTAACTTGAAGCACTTTTCAGTGTAAAGAAAACAAACCCCTCAACATATTGCAAAGAAAATTCAACAACAACATTAAAACGTAGTCTTCGCAAAACAACGGCTAAGCACTTATTATATGTATGTATGTATGTATGTATATGTAAGTAAACAAATAGACATATTCACATGCCCCTGAACATAACATTTACAACATAAACCTATAGTGCTAACACAATAACAAACCTATGTATGTATGTGAACTGTAGTTTAACGCACTGCTAAATAACATTTAAATGGAGCTTTTGTGGTTAGCGCCAAAAAGCGAAGAGCTTCTAGACAAAAGAGAAAGAGTTCTCTTATCCAAGCAAAGGAGCGAGTTTTCTCTTTTGTATTAAAATGACATCGCAATTTCATAAATAAAAATGTGTATGTATATACATTAGGGTGGTCCAAAAAAACTACCCTTGTTTTTTATTTAAAAATACTTAAGAGGTCGCTCAATGCGTTCAAAAACCATTTTTCGTAGAAATGGTATAGAATCATTGAAAATATATATTCTTCAATAGGCAGGAGACTTTAAGGAATAATACCCAACACTGCAATGCGCGCTACCACTGCGAAGGCCCTGGGTTCAAGCCCAGTTTCCGAACATCAAAAATAAAAAATTTTTTTTTTCTAATAGCGGTCACCACTCAGCGGGCAATTACAACCCTCTGATAATATATCTGCCATGGAAATAGCTGCTCACAAATATACAATCGCCGTTCGGAGTCGGCGTAAAACTGTAGGTCCCTGTTCTTTGTGTGACAACATAAAGACGCACGCCACAAGTCAGAGGAGAATCTCGGCCAAACGCTAACATTTGTGTAAGCGCCAATCTATTATTATTATTAATATTAAATATTTTTTTTCAATAGTAATCTTTTTTATGGGTCCCACAAAAACCCCAAAAATTCAATTGGGAATTATTTTTAGAAGTCTTCGGAAGAGAGATAGAGTTTGCCGATTGAAACGTGTTAACCGTCGTAAAATCTTAAGCTTAAAATTTGTTTATGTAAAACAATGAGTAAACTTTCAGACCACCCTAATACAATATGCCAGCTTTGGTAATTTAATTTATTGGACAGTTTAATGGAAATTGCTTTCGAAGCTTTACTTATTGCCACTGTTAAGCTTTTATTTATGACATACATACATATATATATGGATGTGTATAATGCTACATAAATGTAATTTTGTATATTTGAATATAAGTGTTTACGTATCAGCGTATATACTAGTTATATAGGCGCCTGGCATTAAACGGATTAAAACTAAAATTCTATTAACACAACAAAAAATACAAAAGAGCAGAAAGAAGTGCGATGCAAGGCCGCTGTTTCTACAAAAATCATACAAATATTTTTGCCAATTATAGTTTTTTGTTTACCGCTGCTTTCCACTTTTTGCTTATACATATTGCGCAATGGAGTTGGAATAAGAAATTTAAATTAAAAAAAAAAAAACAGACACCCTTCGCTTGCTTATTTGTTTATGAACTCAACAGCGAAACAGCAGTTGCCAAAATTTGGCAATAAATTAAACTGAAGTGCTGTTTTTGTATTTAATTAGTTAGTCATTCTTTAAAAATAAAAATACATATATTCCCAGCGCAATAACAAGCGCGCAGCTATAAAGGGGGCAAGTGCATATCGTCGTTTAAAGTAAAAAACCGCGTATCAAGATAATGCAAAACCTCGTATGTAAAGTTGCATAAACGTATTTTGTAGAGAGTAAAAACACTCATATTTCAAAATGGTTCCCTCTTTTATAAAGCAACCGTTTTTTTGGCTAGTATATTTCAGGACGAATGGCCAAGGCATGAGCCAAGAGCTTCGGTGAGTAAATCCAATTTTTAGCAGCTAATGTCAGTTACGCGGTTTTGCAGAACGACGTTACGCGGTTTTGTACACTTTAAACGATGACATGTATATATATTGTTGATAGCATAATTTAAGACAATTTAAGTTCTTACTATACTTTTTTCCTTTATCTTAAACAAATATGCACCTTTTTGCATTTTACACCACAAATTACAAAATATATCCCCTTTATTTAATGCGCACACAATCACCACCCGTTCTGGCAACGGACTCTTTTGAGGCCAAACCGATGGCGCAGCGCAGTGTAAACAATTGAGTATGATGAGTCGTTGTATTCTTTGAACTGATAAAAACTGATAAAAATGTTGATTACTCACTCGAGCGAAGTTAAACAGTTGATGTTACAGATATTAGGATGGTACTCATATCTGAGTGTTTACAAGTTATCTATTACACCAAAGTCAATTCAAGTGTTAGTCTTATAAAAATATTCGAAATGCTAAACAAATAGTTTTTAGTTTCTGTTCAGTTTTTGTTGTCGTTAATTTGTTCAAAACAGTTAAAACTACAAGACATAAATACATATGTATGTATATAAGTACAGGTGTGTGCCCTTTACCCTATCATAGCTTTTTGAGTTAGTTTAGTTCTTTAGTATTTTGGTACATACATATATGTAAGTTCATAATAGTTATGCAGATGAAAGTAATGAGCTAATTTACTAGTTGTACATTTGACAATACACATGGAAAATGAAACAAGCACTACGATGATTAAACTAAACGAGTAAATTAATAATCTAACTAGAAAACAAAACTACATACGAACATAAAAATCAAACGCGTGAAATAATCAGTTTTCAAAATATTTAACATCTTTATTGGTAGAAAATAAAAGATAGTATGATATAAATGTTTGATAAATTCGTAATATGCTTGTCAAATGCATAACAGTTAAAACTCACTATTTGTAAATCTATAATTGGCTCGCCTCTCTAACAAATCTATGTATTTTTAACTTATGCAATACTGCAAAATCAATACCGATTATAGCAATTTACATATGTATATATGAAGAATGTATACATGCGTGGGAATGTAAAAATAATACATTTGTTTAGTTTTAAAAACCATAAGGTCACAAAGTATTCACAATTCTAAAGATGTAATAGAGGTGCGCTGCTGGCGGGCGATGTTTTTCGTTATTTAAAAAAATCTTTTGAAAAATGGCACGCTACAGTTGGCTAATGAGTACAAGCTCTTTAGCGTGCTTACAAGAAAGCGGTAAAGCGTAAAGTACATCAGCATATTACTAACGTCCGATAAAAAGTCTATTGTCCGCGCTATGAATCGTGTAATGGGCGCACACTTGCAATCGAGGTGAATACAAATAGCCAACTCACCTTTAGTCTGGCCGGCACACTGTGCAGAGAGCACCGTGCCAGGCGGACCACGGAGTACGGCCTCCAGACAACGTATATTGTCACGGCAAGTGCTGATGATCTCCGTCTGGAATTGAAAGTAAACGATTACACATTACATTAGATACATTGCCTGTGATGGCTGTGAGCTAATAGGCACACATCGGATAATCAACTTACGTAGTCCTCAGGGCGCAAAAGGTGGCAGCGTATTTTCAATGCGCCAGTGTCTTCCAAACGATTGCGGCTTTGTTGCAGTAAATTGCGCATTTCCTTTTCATCGTCAGAGTCATCACAACTGGACGAGGAAGTGGCCGGGATCACTTTGATGCATTTATCCACGTTGCGGGAAGAGCGACGACGGTCATCCACTTTACGACGACGAGTTGATGTGTCACTTTCCGATGTGCGACGCAAGGACTGCGCTGAATGACTCATGCCAAATTCCAATTTGCGACTGGCCGAGTCGCATTTCTGTTGCTGATTCAATTTCTCAATGCCACCTTTGGGAGTAACAACATTGGCCGAAGCTGACAAGGACATGGACGAACCGCGTGCGTTCTGTACCTCAGATGAGTCTTTAATGTGAATAATAATGATTAGCAATATATAATTAATGAACGAATTCTATGGGCAGAAGCTTTGTGCTTACCTTGGCATGATTTGCGACGAACCTCTAATGTTTTGCGTCTTCTTTCGTATTCCAAGTCAAGTGCACGGCGACGTCTGGCATGGTCTACACTGTTGGCGATTGTGTCTTGTGTGATAGTTTTCGTGTCCGTTTGTTGCAACGAGTCCATACGTGGCGGCGATAGTGAATCTACGTTGTTGGCAGCTGACAGCGAAGAACAGCAGTCTGACTGCGAATCGATGAAATTTCTAGCAGAGCAAAATTTATTTTTAGTTTATTTTCATATTTTTGGCCAATTGTAGGGACATGATATATGCAGAAAGTTTGTTGCTCGAAATTTTTGCCACCTAAAGTTCTTCACGATCATAATTGCACCATGCCAAGGAGGCTTTGAAGAGATCTACATCTATTTCGCGAGCGATATTTTGCTTTGCATTTGAAGATCCGAAAAACCTCTCGTTTGCAAGATACATTTACCTCGTGCAAGCTTTCACGATGAGCCCTCATACTTTAAATACTTACCGATAATCATCACCGAATTCCATAAGCCTTCTGGCTGCATCCGAATCAAATCCCTCAGAGTAGTTCTCCGAGTTATATTTCTCTTGATAGTTGTCCCAGGCCGTTTCCGAGAAACTGCTGTGGTGATCGTCAGTGCCGGTGGTGTAATCTGTATTGGAATATGAAATTCAAATTAATTGGGCTCTTTTTATTAAGTTTTGTTTTTGTTAGAAACAAACATATCGAACTCATATGTATATTAAAATAAATTTAAGCATACATATATGTGTGTGTATACATATTACCCATAGCCACTTGCATGTGGAAATCTACATTCTTAAATAAATATGTATAGGATATACATTAGGGCGGTAATTTTTTATTTTATTTTAATTAAATTTTTTGTTTTGTTTGGTTTTACTATGCGCGAATAGCAAGGGAGAATTCTACGTGTAATTCTAAGCAAATTTGCCGAAGAGATAATGAGCCTTAAATCATTTTGGAGTTTGCCAAATTGCGAAAATAGGTTTGGAAGAAAACTTTCACTCTGCAACACTCTGGTCAAAATTTGAAGAAAAAGATAAATGCAGTAGCCCCTTATAGCATGTTTTTATACAAAAGGTAAGCACTTTTTAACGACACTACAGCACAGTGTTACCGTTGTGCGACTAAAGTGTCAAATTGACACTTTTTGGAGATCGATGCTCCTTGACACCGACCTTTTAAAAATAAGCTTATTTTAACACTTTTCCAAAAAATCATGCGCCTTTGCCCTTTTCTTTGAATTAAAATTCTATCTCCTTCGTAAATTATATTTTTCTTACGTTTTTAAAATGCTTTTAATATTTACTTTTCAAAGGCATTTAAAAATTACACCTCTGGCCAGATTTGGACTGATTTCAATCTCTTTATTATGTCAAATATTTTTCGAATATATGTCCAGAAATAGCATGAATTAATGCACCCTTTTTGTAGCTTAGCATTACCCTTACTTTATTTGTGTTAAATTTATTATTTATTTAATGATGTAAGTATTTTTTAACTGCAATTTTGTTTTTTAAATGCAAAATATGCGTATTGCGTCTTTTTAATATATCCTTCATCAATAGGTTATTATTTTAGCGGTAGCACTGCTACAGCAAAATGCTAAGAAACCTGTTTACGCAATTTGACAAACTCAAAATTGATTTTAGACCCATGGTTTCTTCGACAATTTTGTTTAGAATTACACGTAGAATTCTTCTATGATGTACGCGCATCGTCTGCAAATTCTCTGATACAAACTGACCCGCCCTAATATACATACATATGTGCATATATATAGATACAACTTATGCCTGTGGCCATACGCATATACGTACACATACAAATTTTTTTAGTCGATTACTCGCACAAAGGCAAAAATTCTAATTTCTACAAAGGGTGTAGATACCTCGGTGCTTCTGGGGCACTGGTGTGGCAGCTTAGAACACAAAAGACATTGCAGTGTTAGAAATAATTGCATTCGATAAGTGAGAAAAATGATATCAAAGCTATTCGTAAAATTTAAATTAGTGCAACAAAACCAACTTTAGAACATTGACACTGCGTAGCGAATATGTATGTATGTAGGCAAGTAAAGCCAACGCAGCCGTACTAACCTCCTTGCTGCTCTTCTTCTTCGTCATTCATGTATGTGGCCAAAGCCGCTAACGAGCCCAACCGTTTCTCGTTGCGCATGTACGCCGTGGTATAGGAGCCCACGCGGAAGTTGGGCTTCATTAATTGAGCCTCCCCGCCACTATCGTTCTGCTGCTGATGCTGAATTTCGTACTGCTGCTGCTGCGGCTGTCCCAATGAGTGTTGCGTGGCACCGCTACTGCCGCCCATGGCGCCCTCGTTTGCCATTGGGCCACTACCGCGTTGCAGGCTCAATAGCGCGTTCGTTATCTCGCGAATTTGTTGAGCCGACATGGATTCACACGACTTCATGAGCAGCGTTTGGGCGAGGCGTGGCACCTCGGCGGTGTGCTCCGACCCGGAGTCAGGCGTTTTGTGGCCAGCAGAATGTGCGTTTGGTGTAACTAGTCCAATATTCGCACCAATGGACATTTTCTTTTTGCGCGTTTTGCGCCGTTTCAATGAACCCTTACTATTGCACGCTTTTACTTGGGTAACATTGGTGGTGGACGAGGAGGAGGCGCGTTGGCGGCCAGGCGATAGAGAGTCCAGCGCCGACTCACTAATCGAGTGAGTGGCGAGGCCGGTCTGTACGTTGCTTACTGTCGCCACAGCTGTCGCCGTTTGCACTGTCTCGGTGGTCAGTTGCGACAAACACGACACCGACCACGGTCGTTCCGATTTGCGGCGTGTCTGTGCCCGCTTAACAATCTTTACGTTCAAGCTCTGATTACTGCTTCCGTAGCCCAGTACAGTCGTTGGACTGAGTATAGGTTCTGTGGAACCTCCGAAGCATTCAGTGGAATTGCCACCAAAGGAGTTTGTGCTCGTCTGCATGCAGGTAGCTATGGAATCAGTGAGCCCCTCGGATGTATCCGAGCCAGGTTGCGGAACGGAGTCTGTCTCCGAAGCTTCTCCCGAAGCTTCACAGTCATCGCCTGCTTTTGCATTTGCGCTGCTATGCAACTCATCTGTAGGATTTCTGTGCAATTGGGTAGGCGTTGATGGTTGGTGCTCCAGCCATTCCTTGTGAAAAGAAAGTCGCGTGATTAAATAGAGAAATTGGGAAATGTTTGCGGCACCACTTACTTGGACACGTTGTTTGATCGGGCCTGGCATGATCACCTCTCGTTTTTTCACCGTTGACGATAATTTGATGACGGAATGCTTCTGTTTCTGCTTGCTTGGCGTCTTTAACGCTTCGGCGTCACGTACTAAATGCTCTGCCTCAAG